AAGGGGTAAAATGCACCCTGTTCAAATTTGCAGATGACACTAAGATGTGGGGAGAAGTGGGCACACTAGAAGGGAGGAATAGGCTGCAATCAGACCTAGACAGGTTACGGGGGTGGGCGGATGAGAACAGGATGGGTTTCAACACTGACAAGTGCAGAGTACTGCACCTGGGGAGGAAGAACCAGCAGCACATCTACACGCTGCGGAACTCCCCTCTCGTCAGCGCAGAGGTGGAAAAGGATCTTGGAGTCATTATTGATGCCAATATGAACATGGGCTGACAGTGTGGGAATGCGGTCAGGAAGGCCAACCACACCTTTTCATGTATCCACAGATGTATCTCAAACAGGTCCAAGGAGGTGAGCAGGACAGGCCCTACGAGGAGAGACCTGAACCTGTTCAGCCTCCACAAGAGACGGCTGAGCGGGGATCTAGTGGCCTTTTACAAACTAGTCAGGGGGGGACCAGCAGGCACTGGGGGAGTCCCTGTTCTCCTGAGCACTACCAGGAGTGACTAGAAATAACGGTCACAAGCTGGCAGAGGGTAGATTCAGGCTAGACATCAGGAGGCACTACTTCACTGTCAGGGCAGCTAGGATCTGGAACCAACTTCCAAGAGAGGTGGTGCTGGCTCCTACCCTGGGGGTCTTTAAAAGGAAGCTGGATAAACACCTGGCCAGGGTCATTTGACCCCAATACGCTTTCCTGCTACGGCAAGGGGTCGGACTTGATGATCTGCTCAGGTCCCTTCCGACCCTACCAACTATGAAACTATGAAACTATGACTCGAGGGGGGATGGCTATATTGACCCTTGCAAGTACCCTTGCAGGTAAACTCATGCATGAGGTATTGAGGGGATACACTCCTGATGCTTAACTTAGCTATACAGGGGCTTCCTAAATACAGAAATAACATGAGGATGCACCTATTGGATTCCTTACTGCATTTAGTCTCCTCTATAGAAGGAAAGGAAGGATTAAAAGGCATGCTGCAGCTACCAATGAAGAGTGACTCCACAGCTGTTTTGAGGAAAAAGGGATAGGATTTTTGCCTCTCATTTCTGACACCTCTGTAGTGGTCTGCCCACCTACTTGAACACAGTGGTGGTGAGTTAAGGATTTGCCTTTAAATGCACATGCACAGCAGACAGAATGAATGACCTGCAGTCAGAACATCCATAACAAGGAAAGATTTCAATCCGATATACTTTCCAACCAAGTCAGAGAAGAAAAGCATATATAAAATCCAGTGTGAAAATTAATTTGACAGCACTTAAAAATTAGATAATGGATTGATTGTTTTGTTAACCTGCAAATTTAGGAAGCTTGTAATACATTGCTTTATCTGTCTGTCTACATGGATTGTCACTACAGAGACTTCCACTTCAATCATTTTTGTCCAAACTTCTAATTTTGTTAGGATTAAAGTGATTTATTTCCCCTGGCTTTTTATGCTAGTTCTAGACATACATAGGCCAAATGAGAAAAATATATGTACTTAACCCTGTGTGTGTTATTGCTGATCATGTATAGTTTGGGATGTTTTTCTATGAGATAAAAACCTCCAAGCTCTTGATTACTTATCTGAAGAAAAAACCAATTGCTTGTTTATCAGATTGTGTTTCAGGGTAAAAAGTGTTTTGATGTTGCAACATGGTGATCCTTGCTCATACACGAAGGGGGAACTGAGAACTTCAGAGGCAACAAGATGGAATTTTCCTCTTGGATACCGGCAGGTATGTAGTTGAGTTCATCTTTATCTGGAGCACCGAGATCCAAAGTATGTAAATGTAGATGCCTCTTAGTACTAGATGCCCAAGATTCTCATTTCCTACATGCAATTGCAGAGCCTGGGAACACTGGCAGGCCATTTTTCTGGAGGGTTCAAGACTTTTCCCTACTAACTTTCAGTTTTCTAAGTGAAAGTACTACCAACCTAAGCACTCGATATTGCCTCAATCTCATCCAGATTCTGGTGAATTCATATCCTTATATATTTTGTTATTCAAAGAAATCAAACATTTTACGAATATTTTACTTAGTGGACTTTGCAACAGCCTTATGAAGTAAATATACATTATCACCATTTCACAGCAAGGAAATCGGAGGTACACAGAGATTAAGTGATTTGTTCTAGGTTTTGCAATAAAATGGTTATTTGTCAGTCCTAGTGATCAGTCTTGTGCTCTTAGCTCCGAGATACAACTCCTGCTTCAACATGAACATCCTTTTAACTGTGGAATAAAATAACTGGCCACTCTGTAAAACAAAATTCAAATTCAAATAGGATATAAGAACTGACCTGGTGTTACAGCCATGCCATTTCCATTAACTACCGGCCTCTCTTCTTCTTCCTCCTCGGGTGGTTCAATACCTGTCTTTTCCATATTGCTCACTGACTTATTTCGCTTCCGTTTGCCTTCAGCACTAGGTGTGGCACCTGGAAGGATCTGGTCTGTTACATTTAACAGTAGCGGAGCTGGGTCAGCAGGAGGTTTTGGAGTGCCGTAATAGTTGTCTGAAAATAAAATGAATATTAAATATTTAGATTTTTAAAAGGATAACTGCTCCTTCCTTTTCTGTTGGATCATGAGGAACTATTGATATCGTTTGGTGCAAGGCATGTTCTGTTGTCCCTTGTCAAAGAAAGTGCATTTTTTCTATGAGGTTCAAAAATTGCTTATTTTGAATGAAAAGCTAACTGATTTTTTGAAAGAGATAGGACAATCCAATTTCGCAACACTGTATCTCATGAAATAGGTATGCTTGGATACTTGAAGGGACCACTGACCATTTGGATATCTATTATGGTAACACACTTTATATTACATCACATCATCCAAGTGCCAGAAAAAGTCTATATAAACCACTGGTTGGTAGGCAAAATAATCTATTCCCATTGCTATACAGAATAAGGATGTAAATATTGTTAAAAAAAATTGCTTAGGTATGGCTGCTGCTGGGGGCTGTTCCCTGGCCCTTTCACAGATGGGAGAGGAAGCGATGGCAAGCCCTGCCAGACAACACAGCTCACACGAAGCCCCACACTGGGAGGGAGGAAACACCTGTGAACAAGCAGCTTATTGCTTAATTGACAAGTCATTTGGCTGCCCACTGTTTTGTTCTTTAACCTCATAGGTGATGGGCACACTAGTTCACCCTTGTCCCTCCCCTGCCCCTCCTCCTCCCTCCCTCCCCGCACCTGCCCTGCCTCCTGGTTCCTGCTGGGGCACTGCATGGCTTCGCTTCCCCTCTTCCCTGCTGGACTGCACCCTGCCCCAGTCTAAACGATAACCAGTAAGCTAACCAGTTATCACTTGGCTTATGAGTTAAATAATTAATCATTTAACCTTTCACATCCCTAATACAGAATTACAACACTTTAATAATGACTCCAAGAAATTTCTCTCTCCTCGATCAACATTTCTCCTGCTCATAGGCACACCTCCAAACTTGTAATAGTTTCTATTAATACATTTTGGAAGAAATATTACCCTTATGCTTCTGGGCATACATCAGTCTTTAACTAAAAAGAGATTTTGAGGAGAGGTCGCTCTCACCTTCCTCTGAATCATCTAGCATTTTTGGGGACAGGTTATTACACTAGATGGATCACAAATTGGATCTGACATTTCAGTTCCTGTTTCTTATGTCCCTATTTTCCTCAAACCTAGCAGAATCAAGTATCCATAATCTGTCTAACCTTCCCGCTCCCTCCCAAACTGTTTATGTATTCAATTAAGGAAGAAAACAGCAAAGAGCGATTCTAACACCCACACAAGGCACAGGGACAAAAATAACAGCAGAGTTACAAAGCTACATTTTTTGCAAACAAGAATTACATTTGGTGCGGATGTTTGGTAAGGGTGTCCATGGTGAGTGCACTGGGAAAATGATTTCTCACAATAACTAGCTTTTAAGAGGAGAGCATGGCAAATTGTGCATACAACTCCTACTAGAAATGCTGACCTGTTTACATAACTCTGGGGAATTTTCCAAAAGGCTAGGAACCTATAGTAAGGCTACTTATCACCAGTGCGCTCATGGCTTGCTTAAGCGATTCTTAGGCCCTATAACACTTTTATGGTTTTCTACCTTCTGGTTTTTTTTTTACTTTTATAGCTTCTGTATGGTCAAATAATAACAGTAGCAGCTTCCAAAACATATGCTCACTTTTAAATATGCTACCTAGAGAGATAATGAGATATTCTTTGATCAGCAAAATATCATAAGGTATATCTAGTAAGCAATGTTGATATTGCTCCGACAAGAGTATTTCTTGTGTTTTGCAAAGCAGTACAATGCTCAGTCACTTCACCACTTCAGTACAGATAAGTAATAAGTATCTCCAACAACTGCTGAATGGTCTATGAATTGTCACAGTGGATTAGAAGGTATTTATTCAGAACAGATGTTTCCACTAGGTAAATATTCTGAAGTTAATGGTCCTCAATCTTAGAATGATCTTAATGCAATTGTGTATTTTAATACTTTAATATTGGTTAAATATTTCTCTCTCCCTTCTTTTTTCTTTTAGAAATTATTTTAGCATCTTTGAAAAGTATCAAAATTAGGGAGGGTCTCAATCAGTTTTTGAATCTGAAGGTGCATTGACTTAATTATTCACCAGTATTTTTGATAGTGGCCAAAAAAGATTGCTTTGAAACTAACACTTATTAAAAAAAAGACTCTCTCACCTGTATGGAAACTCCAAATTCATTTCTATATTTCCTTAACTACATATTACCCATGTTGGTGGATTTCATGCCTTACACCTATTGTAAATTTTTAAAGGGATAGGTTTCTTCCTTTTAAAAATTTCTCCTCTACCTTAAACACTTCACTAGATCAAAAGCGTTCCATTTCCATGACAGCCTACAGTATCATAAAGATTGTCACATGATTTCATGAGCTGCTGCATGTAACAACCACTGGTACAAAAGTCCACTCTGATACAAATGCTCAAGTTAAAAGTACAGTGGCATGGCTCTTTTGTGCCTTCTTTCTAGTCTTCCCATTTTCATAAAAAGGCAAGTGCAATGGTAAAACTATGGCAGACAAGGTTCTTTGGGTAAATCCAATATCTTTTATGAGACCAACTGAAATAGTTGGAAAAATGGTAAAACTATATTTTTATAGGTCATTGATAGATTGGGATAATCTGTTATGCCATAACTAGCATATTTGTAAGCCTATGAAAACATTGTGAATGATAAGTAAAAAGACAGGCACCAAAAAGATTGTCTAAGTACAGAAGATATTTGCTCTATTTCTGGAAGTTAAATAGCCTTCTCTCTCAGACCCACAATATGTGTCAGAAAATCCTTAGGGAGACAGAGACATAATACACTGAGAAAAGATTTTCTATGAATGTAACAGGTTTCAAAACACAAGAGACATCACTGTACATTTAAGATTAGAGCCTGAGAAGGCTGCATTCTTTTTCTTTTGAATCAAAAACTCAGTATAACTTGCACACTCTGCTCTCCAAAACAAAAGCACATAGTATTTTCCTTTTCTATAGTAAAGTACTCATATAACCTCAAAGTGAAGCTTGCTGTATTGTCTAATCCAAAAACTCCTCCAAAACCTGTCCCATCTAGATCATTTCTTATTCTGTCTTGCATTCAAGTTGGTTTTTAAAATTTTCCTGTTTAAAAACAGCTACTCTGATGTCAGTGGTGGAATGTCCAGGAAGGTTAAAACTGTTCTTAATGGACTTTTGTGCATTTCTGGAACTGATGTTAGGTCAATGTCCATGCATTCTTTTAAAGAGGGCTTGCTTGCCCTGTCTGTCCAAAGTACACAGCAGAGGGGCACTATAAACAGGTGATAGTGTGTATGACATTGGTAGAAGAGCAGATGAATGTACCATGGATATTATCATTCATGTTATTTGCTCCATTGAAGATATGTTCTGTGTTGATGAGAGGGCAGAGCTGGCATCTGAGTTTGTGGAAAGCTCTGATGGCTTGTTGAGAACTGGAGTTAGGTAGTCTGTTGTTGGAGAAACATTGTTTGAAGTTGGGAAGTTGCCTGTAAACCATGACAAGTTGTCCTCCAAGGTTACCTTGGGATGGTCATCATTTTCTGGGAGGGGTTGAAGGTCATTAATAACATGTCCAAGGAATTCAAACTGAGGACTGTTGGTTGATGATCAGAAGGATACTTTTGTCCCTGTCATGGGGTTGGTATTGTAGTAGGCTTGACTGGGATCTGAGTATAGCTTTGTTGATTTGACAGGTTATGGTTTTGGGATTGCATTGTAAACATATGAAGCCCTGCTCCATAAGGTGTGCATCTCAGCCAGTGGGGTCAGGGAAAAAACAGTTGTAAAAGCAAAGGTTGGCTATAGATGATGGAACTGGTGGTATGCCTCGGCTGAAAGCTGGTGGCATGGAAGTAGCTGTAATGGTTGGTTGTTTTCAAATTTAGTGTAGATGTGATATGGTCATTGCAAAGTTTCACAATGGTATCCAAAAGATGAATTTGATGGGTGGAATACTCAAGAATTTGTTTAATGGAGAGATGGAAGCTGTTAAAAATCTGATGGAGTTTCTCTAGAGATTCCTTTGATGTGTCAAAATGAGAACTAGCTCAGTGATGTACCTTAAGAATACTATGTGAATAAGAAAGCAGTTGCAGAGGAAACCTTCTTCAAGGTCTGTCATAAATATACTGGCATACTGGGGGCCATGCATGTGTCTATGGTAGAACTGTTCATTTGTAGGAAGCCTCCACAGCTAGTTTAGTAAGCTGCATTCTGGATACATTTTGGGCTCAACAATATTGTGTTCCATATCTACATATGGCAATATCAATACTTAAAGAGTGTGCCTGCATCTGCAAAACTCTGCATAAACAAGAATTAAATGCCCCTACAAATAGCTCTACACGAGGCTCCACATTTTGTGAATTGTAGGCCAAATGTTTAAAGGGTATTTAGATGCCTGAAAAAGATTTCGGAGGTAGCTAAATACCTACAGGCAAGGTTGTTTGGGTAGATGTGATATCTTTTGTTAGACCATCTGAGTAGTTGGAACAAAGTTCTTAGCAACCTTTCGGGCACAAGCACCCTTCTTCAGGCATAGGGAGACTCCATAGCTGTTCTGAGATCTCCAAGCAATGAAATAAGCTAGAAGTGTGACAGGAGATCAGTGAGAATGTAAATAGGTGGAAATTGGGAAAAAAATGGGTAGAGAAGGGTGGGGAGGGGGAGAACAAGGTGGAAAATGGGTGAAGGAATGTTAACGCTAAGCAAAGGAGACTCAGAGTAAATTGATGGAAATTAGGAAAACAAAGGATAGAGAGGGAGGGGAAGGGAGGAAATGGAGGAAAAATGTAAATAGTAACATTCAGGCAGGTATCTGGTGAATCAGATGTCAGGCAGGTTGTAATGTGTCATAAATCCAATGTCTATATTGAGTCCATGATTTTTTGTATCCAGTAGATTTATGAAGTGAAGTTCGTAAGCTCATCTACAAAAGGTATTCTGTAAGTTTCCTTTGAGAATTAGAA